TTTTTTTTAAAAAAAAGTACAGCTTATAGCTTTCAATGTTTGCTTCTAGTAACTGCAATATTCTGTTCTCTGTAGACTTCAAGGAGGCATTCCTCCTGTTTGACAGGACCGGAGAAAGCAAAATCACTCTGAGCCAGGTTGGAGATGTCATCCGCGCTCTTGGACAGAACCCAACTAATTCTGAAATCAAGAAGATCCTGGGCAACCCCAGCAATGAGGGTAAATCTTCTTTGTGATCCACCCTGATAAAAATATATCCTCCCAACATTTTTCCCATTAAATGAATGTCTCAAATTTTGGTATACTGGTTTTTGAAAGACTGGCTTGATCCCACAAGCAAATACACACAGTGTTGGGTTTTTACATACTTACATTATCATTTAAACAATACACACATGATTTTCTTATGAATAATATTTATGCCGAAGGACATACAAATTGCTGTAATTCTTTTAACTAAAGAAGTCTACACCCCACCTTCAATCATCACTAAGTGAGCATTATCCAGCTAGGTTTGAATCCTTTTAATTTGCATACCTTTAATGACGAAGAGTGAATCATCTGACAAAGGTGGAGGCTGAAGACACAAGATATCGTTGCCTTTGTTAGAATAATTAGGTCAGGGTTCGAGCAATAGTTGAGTAGAAGATTAATTAACAATCTTCTGCATTTTGTTTCGAGTCCCAGGAAGTTACAAAGGTAACGTTCTTATATTTGTGTAAGCTGCCTTGAGTTGCCATGAGCAAGTAGGTGGCTATATAAATTTTCTAAAATGAATAAATAAACAAACAAACATAAAAGAATTAATTTTCAAAAGCAGGACACTGAATTATTAACACAATTAAAGAAGAATCTCACTATGGAAGAGTCAGTGACATACCAGAAGCTATGGTTTTAACTGCTTGACAATGTTGCACATATATACAAAAAGAAAATGCATAGTCCCAGCACCGACCTGCTGAATACATACATATTAATCAAATAAAATACCTGTACTTGTCCTATATAACTCCTCTCTGCAGTGTATTTCAATAAACTTGCATATCCTCTGTGCTTGCAATGCAATTGTTATCTATTTTATTTACCTGGAAACAGAGCTGTGGGTGACAGCCATGAAATTAAGAATTTGGGGGAGGGGGGAAGTAACCTACTTTAATTGAGTACAAATTTGTCTTCTTCCTGTGAAAGTAGATTTCTGAGGTGACAGACCCAGCCACGAGCAAATACTTAGATGTTTCTCTTTCTCCAAGAGCGTTGGCGTTCTGAATTGAATTAATTTTCAAAAGCAGGATAATAGCGCTGCCGGTGGGACTAATCTACTGTAAATCTCTACTTGGTACTTCATAAGAAAAGTTCCAGACATATCATAAAATGCACTTACCAACCCACGTTGTTCCTCTGCAGAGATGAATGCAAAGAAAATTGGGTTTGAAGAATTCCTGCCCATGTTGCAGGCAGCTGCCAATAATAAAGAACAAGGTACCTTTGAAGACTTCGTTGAAGGCCTTCGTGTCTTTGACAAAGAGGGCAATGGAACAGTCATGGGGGCTGAACTCCGCCATGTCCTCGCCACTCTTGGTAAGTGCTAGGAGATGAATTATACGTAAGAGAACTGTACATGAATTTCATTGGAAATTAAACATCATAGCTTTCATTCAATTAAAAGAAGATCCTAACGGAGTCAAGAGCAGAATAAAAATAAAGAGTTCTCTAATGAAATGTAAGACTAATAGGGAAAAAAAAGAAATTAAACTGACCGTACAATTTTAATCTAAGGGTTTATTTATATAACAAGTTGAAAAAAAATCAGGAAGGAAGTAGAGAATGGAGGGACGAAGGAAAGGAAAGGAGTGGAGGGTGGAAGGGAGAGGAAGAGAAGGAGAGATAGTAGGAGAGGAAGAAGAAGTGTGGAGGAGAGGTAAGGGAAGAAGAAAGAGGTAAGG